CCCTCCGAGTCCCCTTCGTGGAAAAAGTGTTACAAGACTTAGTACAGCAATGACTACTACATGTATGTACAGTAGCAGTGATAGATGTAAAAAGTTTCCTTCCCTTTTCAGGAACATTGGCTACGGACCATGACACTTACCACCGCTCCTAACCAGATGCCCGAAACGGAGAGATAATCCTTCCACAGAACCTCGCTCTCGTCGTCGAGCAGGTACACCGCTATTCCTTTGCCGACTGGAATGGCGTTCAGGACGATTGCGATGAAGCTGAGAACGATGGACACGATGGCAAAGCCAGCTAGGGTGCCACTCGCGCAGCCTGACGGCCTCAGCCGCGTATGCGGCAATACGGTGTCCGTATGTGTCTTCGCAGTCGTGGTGACTCCCGCGCTGGCGTAATTGACCGGAGGATTCAAGTGAGAGTCTCGAGCATCCTGTTGTAAAGGTTGGTAGGACATGGCTGCAAGAGATTTCAGAGAGAACGTAGATCTACTGCAGTATATACACAGAAATCTACTGCAGTAATAGTATGATTGCGACAGTATGTTCTCCGTGAGTAAAACTTAATATTCTGGCAAGCTTAAGCTGCTGTCTTGAAATCCAAAATAATTGCACGCACGCACACCGCACAGAGCTAGAGGAAAAGCAGAAGTAGCAAGATGCGGTTCTGGCTAAATGCACTATCCCTCTTCATACTAGTTACTACTACTTAAAGTCTTTACTCTTTAGTAACTAGGCCAGGCTCGCCGGGAGTCGGGACCGTGACCCGTTCACGAAGCGCACTGTACTAGTAGTCCTACGCGCACGTCTACACGGCTACACGGCATAGATCTACTACGGCTACAGTCAGATAAGACTGTCAGTACAAAACGGGAAGTCTGGAGACTGGTGTGAAACCGGTACCGGTGCACTCGACTTTTGAACGCGGGCGCGGCGCGGGATGTGATGCGTCGACGTGTGATGAAGCATTTTGGAGGAAATGAAAAGTACACAGTGGACAGCTAGCATACACATAAAGACACTTACATTGTGGTAGATCTACCTGTGCCTGTGTTCTAACCATGCTAACTGGGCTGGCCACGGCTAGCTGTCAGTTTTGTAGTCACTTCCTTCAAGGAAGAAAGGAGACGCATGATCCTTGCTGATTTGAGTCTCTCAGCGTGTGCTCATAGTCATACTCCCTACGCAGCTCAACATCAGGTGGTTATTCCTGTATCTCTCTGCCAAGCTGTACAGGGGGATACGTTGTGCCAGGCTGTGTAGATAAGCGCTGAGCTGAGAGCGCTTGCATTCACAACTTCAAAGTTCAAACAGCGATCGATCGCGCTTGGTTGGAGTGCCGGTAAGTATTTGTTGAGTGGGTAGATAGAGTAGCTCATGTCGCAGAAGTGAATATATTATTTCCTGGTGTTCATGTGGCCATGCAAGGACTACTTGCAGCTGAGGACCAGTTATTTTGGCCTTAACATACAATGTAGTTCTAGTGACTGGCGTTGACACCCGTACCAAGGCAACTCAGCAATCATCCGGGCTGTGATCATGGTGATTACCTGCCAAAAATACGAGGCCCAGTTGTTTACATGGACAACATGGGATGATGATTTTCGACATGCTATGTACTACTTCTGGCAACTTTGAATCCAGAGACGATCGTTGATCATCTGCGTATCACTATCAGTTGTGGTTGTGGCCTTCGATGCGGATATGAAGGGTTTATGCTCACTCTGCGTTCGTTATGCACCCGGACCAGTCCTGTTGCCATCTCTGCTGTAAACATGGTATTCCACTATCTCTAGGGAGAAAACCCAGTCGTTCTGGTATAAAACTATTCCTGTGATAGCTGTGCTGGTGCATGGTCAGCACAAGAACCAGTACGCTGCACTAAACTGTAGGTGATTATGGCTAGGGCCAGTAGGGGTTGTCGCAAACGTTATTTTGTCGTCCCTGAAACGAAGATCGTTCTTTTTGTACCCAGGCCCCTTCCCTCCTCTGAAACGAACACAGCTTGCTATGCTGGACGACGAAAATCGCATGCATGTACATTGTGTACAGTGTCGGTCGACTTGCGATTTTGGCTCGCACCCCCCCCCCCCACGAATGATGTTCGTTTCAGGGACGACAAAAACTTTTGCGATGACCCCTTATGTTATCTTGAGCTTGATGGTCCATGTAATGCTAAATGGCCTGTGGAGAATCCATAAATACAAATACAAAATACAAAATACAATGAAGTCAACTGATCATTATGTGTGTGGGACTCAGCAGGCAACCAAACTAGAACAAAAAATGAAGTCCTGCCTCAGTCAGAAGTCAATCCCATAATGTTCTGCACGTGGATTGGCAACTAAAGAGGAGCAACGTGTAAATGATTGTCACACAAGTGACGAAACTCCCCTTCTCCCCCCCCCCCCCCCCCCACCCCACACACACACGCACAATGGTTGCCTCTTTGCTTTGTCACAACCATTCAACGCGGTGAACCCCTCGATAGGCGATATGCCTTTGGGTCATCCTAATAAAGTAGGAGTGTGTATCCGTCCGATCCATTTTTACTCACTTACACTTGTCCAATACGCTTCAAACTTTGTGTACACGCTCGTAGTCTGTATCCGTGCTGCATTATCGATCCATGCAAAATGTTAGCCGCTTGTGATTGGACGAATGCAGTTTCTCACCTGCTATTTTCCTAGAACCAAGGGCTTTGAGAATATTCTTGGAACTTCTCAGTGTTTAATACACCTTGCCTAGTTTCTTTCTTGCGCCCATAATAAATACACCGTATAAAATCAGTATGCCATGTCAATTACAATATCAGTATCACCTTCTCTGACGAGCCTTTGATAGGCGAAACAGCTGTAAGAAGGAAATGTTTTACCCGTGACCCCTTCGTTGTTTCGGAAGTTATTGGTGTGAGTAATGGCTACGGAGGGTAGCAATGGTCGGCTTTAGAGCGCATGGAGGAGGAGAGTTAGTTTCTTGTATTATTCAACAGCCGAAAGGTACCGTTCAACAGTTTATTGATATTGTTGTTATTTCTAACACCTTTCTATGTACAGTACTTAATTTTCTTCAGTTTCTTTGGTTGTATCCTTAGTTCCGTATTTTTTCCCATTGATGATTATTATTATTATTATTATTAGACACAATCTCATAGCATGTGACAAGCATAGCTAATGCAGGGACAGAATCCCCTGAGACAAGGGCGTTGAGCCAGCCACGGCAATAGTAAGCTAAGAAAACAAAGCAAATATGAATTAAAGCAGAAAATGAATGGAAAATTACAAAGAAAAACGATTAACAGAAGTGAGCACTATCAAAATTCGTGCATCACCCAGGTATTCGAGAATGTTCTTCGATGATAATTATTGCGTCTAGTTCAGTTGTGATAGTAGATCTTTAAACTGACCAATAGAAGAACAAGTTTTCAGACCGTATGGTAATGATAACCAATGAGAGTAGCCGGAAAACAAAGGGGACTTTAGATACTGGGCTGACTTAACAAGAGGCAGGGTGAGCGCGTTACGGGTTGAGCTTGTCGAAAACCAATTGTACTTCATCATGTGTGAAGGGGTTTTATGAAGAAATATCTTATGAACCAGTGTACAGAGATGGTGCTTATGACGAACGGAGAGAGGAGAAGTGTGTGCAAGTCGATAAAGGGCATCCGAAGGAAAACATCGATCCTTGTTGTAAAGAATTTTAAGTATAAATCTATGGTGGACTTCTAATTGGCTCAGAGTTGTGTCAGAAAGGCCACACCAAGCGGTATCGCAATAGTCGAATATAGGGAGAATATAGCACTGATAAAATAATAGTTTACACTGGATGGGCAAATGAGTGCAATGTGGTTGTAGTACCCCTAAGGCTGAACTGGTTCGCTTGCATACACAGTTGACATGTGCAGCCCAAGAGAGTTTGCAGTCAAACATCACACCTAGATGTTTGTGCTGAGTAACAACACGGATAGGCATAGTCGAGTCAGGGAAGAATAATGGTTGATCAGGAGGGGATGAAGAAATATACATGGCTTCTGTCTTGTCTAAATTGGGCTGGAGTTTCCACGTTTGCATCCACATGACAGTGCTGTTGATGCGATGCTGCATGGTAAGGAGTAATTGTGCAGGGGAGGAATCAGAACAGATGAGGCCAGTGTCATCCGCATACAAACTAACATCGGGGACAACTGAAGGTAGGTCATTAACGTAAAGCAAGAATAACAAAGGACCCAGAATGGAACCTTGGGGCACTCCAGACGTTACAGGGAGGGGATCAGACAAGAAATAGAACAAGCGAACAGCCTGAGAACGAGCAGACAGATACGAGGATATCCAACGCAAGGCAGCATCCTCCACCCGGAAGGTGACCTTCAACTTGGCAAGTAAGCCACGATGCCAAACGGTGTCGAATGCCTTAGCCAAGTCGAAAAAAACCATTCCCACGTGCTCCCCACAGTTCCTCTTTGTCGCTATGTCTTGGACGAGTCGAGTCACCTGGTATTGAGTTGAGTCACCACGGCAGAATCCCGACTGAGCTGGTGAGAGAGCCGGAGCGATGTGCGGGTAGAGGGAATCGAATACAATACGCTCACAAAGTTTGGAAACTGTGCGCAGCAGAGAGATGGGGCGGTAGTTTGCCGGGCAAGCACGGGAGCCTTTATTCTTGTAAATTGGTGTCACGATGGCGGATTTCCAATCCTGTGGGAATGTACCAGTTCGAAATGACATATTAAAAATAATGGCGAGAGGATAGGCTATTGATGGTGCAAGAGACTGCAGCACTTCATTCGGGATCCCATCTGAGCCGGGAGACTTTCCACATTTCAGGCGCTTCAGATATTTCCGAACTTGAAACGTAGTGACAGTGATTGTACGGAACGGAACAGATATGAAAGGCGACTGGGACAAAGGGGGAATGCGCCACGAAGGATCATCAGGTAGCCCAAATGAGGTGAACTGAGTGTTCAGAACATCAGCTATGCTCTTGGGGGACGTGGCGACCGTACCGTCGGATGCTATCATGGTTTGGGGCATGACACGGCCGGAAGTGTGCCGCTGTGCTCGCACAAACTGAAAGAGTGTAGGTCGATTCGGTGACGTTAGTGATGCTTGGATGGAGCGTATATATTGACGATGTGCTTGCCGAGACAGGTGCTTTACAGCATTCCTTTGTCGGTTATAAGCTGCATGATTTACTGCTGTCGGATATTTTTTGTACACACTATATAGATCACGCTTGCGTTTTACAGCAGACCTGAGCTCAGCAGTAACCCATGGTGGAGATTGCATGCGGGGTTGTGGAGATGTCACAGTGTGGGTGGCTCCGAATGAAGTGAGGTGCCGACGGAAGGCGGACTGGAGCTCACAATCAAAGTGATGAAGTGCGTCATTAACATCAGTGTACGAGTTCAGAGAGGACCAGTTGTAGCCAGCTAAATCAGCGTTGATTAATTGCCAAAGGTGCGAAGGTACTTGTTTGAAGCGATACAGTGAAGAGGGAGGACCAGTGGCAGAGTTGGGGAAGTAGTTCGAAATAGGGGCGTAACATAAAGTGCAAACAATCTGTATATGGTCAGACATACCCAAGGGAGGTGCTTGATCAATTGAGCGCACGAGGCGTGGTCGGTTGGTGATCACCAAGTCCAGACACGAAACAGAGCCATTAGGCGAGGAATGAGTGGGGAAGTCAACCATCTGGTGGAGCCCAAGAGCAGCAAATACTGTGCTAAGGAGATCACCAGCCTTCGAGGTAGAATCGGTGGGACACCAGCTTGAGTTGTGGGCGTTGAAATCGCCAGTCACTAGCAGATCATAAGAATCTAAACAGACTGACTGTAATGCCTCAACAAACATGTCACAAAAGTACGACAATTGCATTGTGCTCTGTGAGGGTGGTCGATACATGCAGCATAGTAAGATGGGATTCTGAGATTGAGTAGAGGGGGAGCCAAGTTCAAGCCACACAGACTCGCAGCCAGGGCGTTGAAGGTCGGCACGAGGGGAGACGTACGGAAAGGAGTCCGAACGGACAAGTACGGCAACACCCCCATACCCACGGCTACAATGTGCTGACCGATTGTCTTCCGGAGGTCGATCTTTGCGGATGCAGATATAGCCTGACAGGGAGAGCGGGTTCGAGGGACAGAGCCACGTCTCTGTTAGGCAGATTATGTCAGACTTAGCACATTCGGCAATAACGCAGAGCTCAGACAACTTGTTGACAACAGAGCGACAATTCAGAGATACTAGGGTTAAATCACGCTGGGATTTAGGGAAAAAAGGGAACGCTGATGGATTTAGCGCTGGACATGCAATGTGTGCGGGTCGGCCAGAGGAGGGCTGAGCGGGGTAGAGCGGGCGGGCTAGTTTCGATCGTGGGGTGAATACAGGGGCGTTGGGATTTAGTCGTTGTTGCTGCATCGTTGTGTATGTTGGTTTGTTAGCATGACAGTTCAGGATTGATCATCACTGCCTCGCCGCGAAGTAGAAGACGACTTGTTACCTTGGGCATCAGCAAAGCGCCACTTTCGCACTGTGTGCTGGATGGTGGCCGGCCAGAATTTGGAGTCGAGAACTTTGTCCTCGTCCGATGCTGCCACGGTTACGCGAGCATGGCTAGTACCCAGGTACGTGTTTTCTGAAATCGAACAGTTCAGTACGTCAACTTGGCGGGCCTTGCACCACGCTGTTATTGACTCTGCCCTGCAACCCGGACTGACATTTCCAACGTACAGAACAAGCTTCTTTGTACGTTCAGGCCCTGTTAGCACACGCGGGTCGGCTGCCCTGGGCTGTGGTTTCACGTAGCGTGACGTAACCCTACGGCGTGTGACTTCCGACCACTCTGCACCTGCAGCACTCGACCCTGGGTTGGATTGCTCAGGTGGGTGTGGTCTGGTGCCATGCATTGACAAAACAGGCTGCGACAAATGGCTGGAGGTGGTGTGAGCGGGGGTCATATGGTGAGTACTAGAACCCGTACTACCCTGTGTGTACTGCATAGGACCAGAGGAAATATGGGTGCGTGCACGTGGGGGATTCAAGTCTCCTACGGCGGTGCTGTACAACTTCCCGCCGGACATTGCCAAATTTTGCTGTGCTTCCTGTACGAGAGGGTGTACACAGATTTCCGGTTGTTTGAGCCCCTGAACTTCCCGCCTGAGTTGTTGCACTTCTAATTCCAGACTCAGGATTTTGTCGACTCTATCCTGTCTCAAGGAGACAATTTCCTGTGACATGCAGCTAATTGAGTCAGTAAGGCTTACAATTGCAAGTTGGAGCTCCGATGTGGGTAGCGAACTCTGCGCCAACACGCCCACTCCACGCTTCCTCAGCTCGCTCACCAGATCCGGCCGGGAGAGGCTCGAGGCTTTATCCACAGACATTTGCTCGCCGATCTTGATGAGCTCCTCATAGCCAACCAAAGCCAGGTCCATGCCTTCGTTTGTCGCCATTGGTACTGTTGGTCTCTTCTATTAGTTCTAAGCAATAATGGGGAGGGGTAGTTCTGTAGAGAGACGCACCTCGAGGCTAATCCTCGGAGCACAAAATGTCAAACCGCACCCTACTTTCACAATTTACTGTTCTGATAGGAACAAGAAAATCGATTCTGGGTTTCATTAATATTTTTGTTATAAAATACACGGTAATACATGTCAAACAAGTAACGTAGTTGCGTGATGTCTGCGGCCTTAATCCTATTCATAGCTACATGTACATTGTATTACTTGTACAATGATGTACATGTACAATCATGTACATGTACATGTACATGATTGTACATGTACATGTACATGTACTGTCTGTGCATCTACAGAGTGATCGATAGGCACCGGCGGATTCTGCTCGAAAAGGTGGCAGATTCTGCTAGAAAAGCAGTGAAATTGGCAGAACCATACAAACCTTATGGCGAGCAATTCCTCGAATTCTGCTCCATTTCTTCATTCACACCATGACTCATTGTGTCGGTCATGTACGGCAACTGTGCTGAAATTTGCGGGAATAGCGAGTTGCCTACAGCTAGTCGTCCAAAGCATGGGGCATGGGCAATTTTATAAACTCTCACACCCACACACAGGCATGAACTTCGTCTCTACTCCTGTAGTCCTGTTTCGTGCTATGTGCAGTCATCAGCAGACTGCTGCTGACTGATATACAGCAGAGAACATTACCTGTGGTACAGTATACATGTACATGTACAGCCATGTGGTTCCATAGCCACTTGTAGGCTAAGCCTTCGCTATCAAATTATTCGGTCATCATGCCCGTTTGAATGTGCGAAGTAAAAATAAAAACCAACAACAACAACATGCACATTGTACAGTGAAACCTGGCTCTAAATTTTTTTATTTTTTATTATTTTTATTATTATTATTATGAAATGACCCAAAGGCAATGTGCCTATCGAGGGGTTCATTTGATTGAAAGAACAGTACTAAATACCACCTGGCTTTAGCGACCGCTTTTGCTTGCACCATGGGGTGGCCGCTTAAATCAGGTTTTACTGTACATTGTACATTGTACATACAATGTAGTACATGAGTGCATACACTGTACAGTGCAGCTGCAGGTGCACCCTGTTGAGCTTCAGCAGATAAAGCTGAAGTGATAGCGTTTTACACCCTCGTATGGACTTCGATGGAGAACCAAGGATACATTTTAGAGAACAGAATTTAGAACAGAACAACAAGGACAATCAAGGCTTGTTTGCTGCCTCGATTGTCCTGGTTGTTCTGTTCTGTATTACGCTCTGCCTCCGGTAGATAATAATTTATGTTATTTCTGTAACTTAAAACCTTCCAAGTTGGAAGGCTGTTGGAGTGCGCATCCAAGATGTGCGGGAGCTGTTAGCCAGTTACATGTACATGTAGGTGTAGAACGTCAGTACCGTCGGTCAGTGGTTGGTTGGTTGGTTGGTTGGTGGGTATATTTTATTGTACTTCGCCAGAATGAACACGCATTGCTGCCTTCTTGCCTGGACAAGTGGATTGTCCAATAATAATAATAATAATAATAATAATAAAACAGGTCGTGTACTGAAGCAAGCATAACGATATATGTGCAAAGTCATGATGCCTGGTCCGCTTCTGTCCTGGGTTCACTACCCCGTGCGTTGCAGCCGCGAGCAAAACCAGCTCAGGCTGAGAGTTCCCTCCATGATTGCTTGTCCAAGCTCTCACAAAAAGACGAAGAAAGGAAAGAAATATTACATGAGAGTATGAAACATGCAATCTGATAAGAGAAGATTCCAGTGTCGTGCAATGTTATCGCATGAGCTCAAATTGTTTAGTAACTGGTGGTGTTAGTGGACATTATAGCGTAACTTGTAGTTCCTTGGTCCTTTTTCTTTTCTGTACATACATGTGTTGGAAATGTTGGGCATTAGGTTGGAAATGAAACCTCTCTGCTTGTTTCTGTACCCGCTCCAGTTACCTCCCCGCGCACAACCTGACAACAGAGCTGTGTTGTACATTGTACGATTTCATTGCAACCCCACTTGCCCTGCGAAAGCGGTCAATCGGGACCCTGGTGTTTCGGTTTTGCTCTCGACCCATATGGCTGTAACACCTGGCATGCCGGCACTCTTTCGCCGCTTGAAATTGCTCATGCTCCTGGTTTTACCTTTTCGGCGCATTTGTCAATCTCCCAGAAAGGGCACCTTACCAAACGTCCGGTGGGTTTTTAAGGAGTTCCGTTTTTTTAAATTGACATAGGAAGTGTTAGAACCCCCGTACAGGCACTCAGACCATCGTGGAATCTCGGGTAAAGTAAAAAAGTAAATTATCGTGTCCGTTCCCGAAGGGAACTCACGGGTACCCTGTATAAAAGGAGACACCCAACAACCCTGGCTTCCCTGTGCCGCTGATTATGACTTGCACGCGTACACGTAGATGTACACGTACATGTACACGTACATGTACACGTAAGTAATGTAATCGGGCAAACCAGATACTGCTCGCAGGTGTCGATGTCAACATTTTAATGCGTCTTTCGACGTTCAAGTACACGTACATGTATACACGTACATGTAGAAACTCTACGATTATAGATTATAATAAAAGATTGGGAGCGGAACATTTTATATTTCTAGGTGAAGAAATTTCGAGAAGAAGTTACTTCAGAATATGATACAGGGGGTAGTAGGCCTGGGATGATAACTACGAAGTATCTGATAAACAACTCTACTAGGTCTGATAATCCGATCCGAGGAGATCATAGAAATAGAGTGCGATGGCAATTGTGTATAGAATGTGTTCTAGAAGGTACATGGCATTGTACTGATGGACATGTATGTGTAGATCGGCTGAGGACTCAGTGGCCTTGTCCAGTATAAAAATGGCAGATTACATGATTGAGATATCACTGTTTGCATGTAATTTCGTATTTCAAGTTAACGTATTCTCTCCGGATCTGCTCACAGCATAAAGCCACATGACAGAAACATAATAATAAATTGTCTGGATTTCAATTGGCCGTTTCGACCAGACCATACAGCCAGTTCTGTACTAGTCTGTGAGATCTGGATAATAAATAGTAGAATAGTAGACTCATTGTATGACATAGCGATGAGCTGCTGATGACAGAAAGGCGTGCAAAACATCATTAGTAGCTGCGTTCATAAGTGTTCTGTTAATTAAAGCTTCATCACCTTGGAACACTATCCGTTTCGCTTGACAAAAGGCTGTCTCCTTACAGGTCGGCGTACAAGGTTATAATTATGTATGATGTATATCTCGGGCATTTTGTGGCTACACGAGTCTTATGCAGTGCGAACTTGGTCCAATTACCGACACATTGGGACATGATTGTTTTCGCATAGGAGCAGTGAATCGATCTACCGTCTAAGCCTGTTGCTTCTGACTCTGTCGTTGCACCGCATCATCCTCAGCTGCATTTTCTCAGTGGCGAACAGCCTGAATTCGGCGGAGACCAGGTCTTGAATGGTCGTGAGCTGCTCAACAGGCACGAAGCGTAGCAGCACCGGCGTCACGGCCACCAGAGCTAGCTTCTCATCCTCGTCCAGGATCCTGAAGCGGCCGTTGGCCTGCCTCTGGAAGACGAATGTGGAGCTCATGCCCGGTCGGCTCTCCGTGCTCAGGTACTCACTGGCGTTGGCGGCGGGCAGGTGCACGAAATGACTGACGGACTTCTCCTTCTTCAGTACCAGCGGCAGCTGCGAGTTGTAGCCAAAGATCTGCACTTGTCGGTGGTCGTCGGAATGCCGCGCCGAGCCGGCGTCTTGCAGCGTGAAAAGACCTAATAGCAACAGCGAAAGCATGCAGGTCACAGCGTAACGTTTAATACACACAATCATGATGATGATCCTGGTCTCACACAAGCAAGTCATCATTGCACAGTCATAATACAAAGAGTCCAGTAATGACAGCGCATTGTCTACAGTCCACTATCACTATCAGCGCGAGTACCAACATTAGCCTTGACACTTTTAGGGAAGTCCCCTTGGCCAGATAAACAATTCAAATGTTATTGTTCAATCGTTCAACATTGCATGTACAAATGCAATTGATTTGGCGTTAGTGGCGGAATATCAAAAAGAAAATATGAGCTACTTTAGAAGTGCTTCAAACTAGCACATGATTGTATTGGCAACAAAATGAAAGGGCTGCTAACAGCCCACCTTTCCCTTGATTTGTATACAACTATGATTGTGTCATCAACACTTTACTGGTTTCCGTGAAACTCCTGGTAGTTAAAAATGAAGTTGGTAACACTACTCAATTGGTATAGGGTTTCGGTATACTATTTTTGTTCTTCGTCTAAAGTTTCAGTTCAGTTATGGTCAAGGCATCAGAGAATTACAGCGTGCACGCAGATGCTGTGCGGAGAATGAACTTTTTTTCTTTTTCTCTTGCCAAACTACTTGAACATGTCGCGATTCACAATGACCGGTTATGTACACCTTTTCACGTGCTCGCTCCCTCAAGCTTCATGAATCATGTCCAGTTGCGTCGAAGGTTTGGATCACAAACTGTTCACGTGATGTTGCTGACACTTAGACTATGTTGGAAGTAATCAGTTAGAGGATCAGTTAATGCAATAATGGGGCACTAGAAGTAGAAGCTGTCCAACAAGCCCTCCATTGGCTCCATTGGCTCCAATGAGTCCTATCACTGGATACTAATTGAACAACACTGGGTCTTTTACCAGTACAGGCATGTCCTAGTACGGCACGCTCAGCTCACCTTTCACGGAGCATCTCTGGTCGAGGTACACCGCCGATCGGGCTGTGTCGCTGCTGTTATTGGCCTCGGGAATGCCTCGCAGGTTGGGTCTGGGTACGCGGACGAAGCGATTATGCGCCACGGAGAAGATCAGATAGTAGAAGGTGGTCATTGTCATCATCATTGACATCTCCATCTTGAAGCGATCTCAAGGCAAGTGTATCTCTACAGCAGAATAATAATATGTCTGATGGCAATTCTGGGGATATTGTGCGCGTCGTGCCTTGCAATTTAATTCTGCAACGATAATCAACACGGGAAGTCGGAAGAAAGCATTAAAACTCCAGTGGAAAGAGCAAGAAGAAATTATTGGACGGTTTGGAATTGGAAAGTAACTTTGATCTCACTCCTTTTTATAGCGGAGTCTCGCTGAAGACGCCTGACTCACCGTTAGGACGACACCAAGACGGCACAGGGAAGTAGCAGGTCTCTCATCAACGCCAGGCAGGCGTTGCAAAGGTTGAATTAAATTTAGAATGGACATAGTATTGTTTGAGCTTTGAGCTGAGTGATCTCATTTGTTTGTATGCTGTCATCCGATCAATAGCGTGCTGGAATGAATCAGCGCGAGTAGAAGGGTGTGAAATGAGGGGAAGCCGGTACGCAGTCAGCTACCAGCGCTTGGTACATGATCATCGACCGTGCCGGAGTACGGCATGATGCAACGGTTGCTGATTGGTTGGTTGTCGGCGAGCTCTGTTTGTCCGGGCTTAATTTCAACAGAGTTGGTACAGTCCGCGACCCCTTTTATTTTGAGCCCGTGTCAATTCAGCATTGCCCCTGACACTGGCGCTCTGGCCGCACTGCGTCCCTGCAGCTGAAGAACAACATTGAAATTGACGTAGTGCTGCTTGCATGATACAGCGCGTGGTGCGCACTCTGACGTTGTGTCTCAAACTAGAATGGTACTGCAGTAAGCATGCCATCATGGCAAGGCAAGCAGCGGTGTTCCTTCTTGGTTGGTGCAGCCTGTAGACACTCAGAATTTAATGATCAGACCATTGACCCTCCTCTGGTGTCAGGTTCAAATACAGCCTTACTTGGCTTACCTGGCTTGGTTTGCTATTGGCCACACACCTTTACACACGCGCACACACACACACACACACACGCCCCCCCCCCCACACACACGCACAATCATGTAGATTGGCACGCATCAATTTCTCCTGTTTCGAATTTCCGATCCACCGCGATCACACTCACAGCATGAATTCCCGTGTGTGCGTGCGTGTCTGTGTGTGCGTATCTGTGTGTGGGAGGCTTGCGTGAGCAGTGTGTATAAAATGACATGTATGTTCTAGGCTTTCACCGAGCGACCAACTGACGTGGGACAAACAACGGACCACCAGAGATGCAACCATTCCCCTGTGCACAGAGCGTTCAGTCGTTGATACATCAGCTTTGTAGTCGAGAACAATAAACATTGTAAAGCTAGTAATAACGCCTGGGATATCTCTGTACAGTCTCGTTCTAGAGCGTGCCAGAATCCCTAACCAAGAATAGGTCCATTCACATTACGCCGGTTTGAGTCCGCTGAGGCCCACACTATTATTATTATTAGTTGTCAATAGATGACAGTGGACGGAGTGAAATCACTCTCTTCAAGAGTACTAAGACTGCGTGTAGTTTTTAGTTTCCTGTTACGTGCAATACAGAGCCAGAGTACTCGGCATTCAATGCACGAGATTTGATTGTTCTCTTGAATTGTCAAGTTAGTTGTAAGTTTTGTCTTTGTTTTTGTTTTGGAGGGGGGGGGGGAGTTTGGATCGGAGGCGTGCCACATACCGTGTGGAATGCTGGTTTCTCAAAAGAGCAACCTAGGAGGAATGCACAGCATGCAAGCAATTACAAAGGCGTTGCCAGTCACACTATTTCAGTATTTGTGTTTTGCTAGGGTCCAACGGAATCCCCCGACGTGACGAACAGGTTTGGGGAAGTAAGATGGTAACAACTTTCAGAAGTTAAACATCCCATCCCGTACACATCCGTGATGCGGTGACCCTCAAAGTGGCAGCGCTCTGAGACGCAAGTGGAAATATTCCAAGGCTGTTATGAATGATGGAACGTCAATAAGACCAATGGGTAGAATAGTTACCGTTCAGAAAACTCATGTTTGAGAAGCGACTTGTTTGGACGCAGGTCACCCAGGCGGTGGGCTCAATGGCGAAGAATAACTTACTCGCCTGGCGCGACAGTGCGCGCAGGCGAGTGGGCCGGAAGAATGCTGAATGATTGCTGTCTCTGTGTCGACCCAACTCGCTAGCCACCTACGTCGTAGGTACAGGTGCATTGTCGGACACGTACATGTACGAACATATCAAGGCAGAGGTCGTCGCGATACGAGATGAATGAATGCCTTTCGGATAACTACTGTCACATGTGAATGATGATTGCCGATAAATACAGTCACCTACTGTACATGTAGTGATCGTATGCTCGCACCCGTCGGTACACAAAAGTGACAAAACAAGGTCTCATACTAGTCATAGAAGGATGGCATTCGTTTTTCCCGCACAAGAGACTTTACTGGAAGGATGTCCGTGAACATGCACATGTACATGTAAGATATGAGACGGTCATGCTTTCAGGCTAAACACGCACAGGTAACGGTATACTTATTACTAATAATAATAGTGTGGTGTGGTGTGCCCTCCGTGCTGGCACTGCTGGCACTGCTGGGACTGGAGTCGGTTGCATAGCGAGTGGAGTCACACACAGGTCGAACACTGATGAATAGCATTTTAGTTTTCATTGTTTACAGCAAGTTGTCAGGATTGACAGTACTTGGCGAGTGGCTGTCACATCGCGTGTCAAGCTGTCAACCAGGCCCAACTACATATTATGTACAACGTAGAGTCATGTAGTTCATACGAATCCAGCTGCCAGCAGCCAGTCAAGACGGTAGCTCTCCGTTTAGACAAAAAAATACACGTATGCATATTTGTTCCCCAGATGAGAGTTCTGGTAGGTCGATGAATATTTTGATCTCTGTCACCACGCGCGTCCCTTGGCCATGGGGGCGTTGACATTCAATTCTGCGCAGAAACGTGACGTTGGACCTTCATTTCCCAACGCAGCATGATCACTCAAAAACGTTTCATCGTGACCTATACGAACGACTTGCTTCGGGGAAAGAAAAAAGTATTCCATGTGCCATAGTTGTACCAAGACCCAATGGCTGAGCATGACATTCACGTTCTTGTGTAAGTTGTAGGCGTGGGGAAGAGGTTGTGCGACACCAGATCTCTGTGTTTATGTACACTAAGGAGCAGCTTGACAGGTTGTTTGCTTCGTACATTCGTGTGTTTACCAGAATGAAGAGTCATCGTTGCCCTCTTGCATGCATGGGCAAGTGAATTGTCCAAGCTCTCACGGACCGAAGACGAATGCGCGGAGTTGACCCCACGGGTGGATAGCAATGGGATACAAACACATGCCTGTGCTCTCTTTGGTACGAAAAAAAGCAGATACGCAATGTACATCAGGGAGTCGTCAAATACCGGTATTTGACGACTCCCTGATGTACAGGTTCATCCACCTTTCCAGTAATTGGCAGGGACATCATACTGGACATACAGTGTACATGTGTATTATTATTATTATCTTGCTTGTTCGCGTTGACATCAACCTGCATAAAGCAGGTACATGTATATAGCCTTCGCTTAAGCTGCCATAAAAAATGAAAGCTCATCCTAAGCGAGAGGGCTAGAGGAAAATATAACGATAACGAGATACAGAATACAAAGAAATCCAATGAGTTCAACATACAATTCAAAACAAGAAAGAAAGGAAAGAAAAACAGAGCCGAATCTACCGATTGATCCATCAATCGACAAAAGGGGACTAATCCGTTAATGTTGCAAAGTAGAAGCTCATTGTAGTTGCAGATCTCCAGGCCAGGGCCAGCATATTGCCGATTCTGGATACATGTAGGTCTCCGCAGCATTTGATGTGGTAATTTTCATAATGGTTGATAAAATTGTTAGAGTATCTAGAGTATCTAGTGTGTTAGAGTATCTAGTGTAATTGTATCCGTTATTATTGTCAAGAGTATCTGGTGTAATTGTATAACTTCAGCCACGACACACAGCACACATTAGTTCCTTCCACTTTCGACGATCCTGGGCGAGCTGCCTCAGTGCAACTAGATCCTCGTGTGATGTGAGCGAGTTTGTGGATCTGGAATTTTTCAGGTCGTTGTTGATAGATCGCGGGAGGGTTGTTCTCGGGCGGCCTCGGAACCCTGAGCTTCCTGGTTGAAAGTACGCTGACGTAGCCGGTGTAGTATAGTGTGTGTTAAATTAGATATGGCCACACTATGTACATGTACATGACTTGTACATGTACATGTACATAATACATATGCATGTACATGTACATATACATGTACATGTACATATACATGTACATGTACATATACATATACATATACATACATATACATATTTCCTCTGTGCTGCGCTGACGAGTCCACAAAGGACGAAACAGTTCTGTCCGCAGATTGAGTATTTCGCTCCTGCTCTTGTAGCAGTTGAGCACTCTTGCGTGGGGTAGTGCCTTTGCTGTTTGCGTTATGCAGAGCTCACTGACTTGTCAGTTTGAGCACTCTGGCAAGGTACGTTCGGGCCTGATTGGAAATTTTTATTTCCATTGCTATCAGGTTCGGCCTCATTTCCTCTGTGCTGCGCTGACGAGTCCACAAAGGACGAAACAGTTCTGTCCGCAGATTGAGTACATATACATATACATGTACATGTGGCCGAAACAGCTTGCTGTCTACAGCATTGGGCATGTACATGTACATATACATATACATATACATATACATGTACATGACTTGTACATGTGCCTTGCAAGTTGCAGCTTTTAGGCCAGATCTAGGTAATACTGCATAAAGTGTTTGATATTCCAGTTGCTTTGATTCTCAATTTCAGTGTCAGTATCAGTGTAAATTCCAGTGTCGGTGTGCTCAGTTGCCGCGGCTCCAGCATAGCACCTGTGACAGTGGCAGTAATGAGAAAGTACAATCATGTACGTATCAGACTCAGCGGAGGACGTTCAGGTTGGTTGTAACTCTGAGTTTCATGCCGCTAGGCAATCATCAGACAACAGTTCAGGCCCGGCGGGAGCAGTTTTGGATTGGTCCGGCCATACCCTAGCCTTTCATACAGTTTGTGTATGGTATGGCGGGTACACACCTGAGCTCAGCAGTAAACACATGTAATTGTTGGTTGCCAAAAAGTTGGTCCGGCCATGGCCTGA